CAAGCTTCGCACTGCTTACCGCTGGATCAATGTGGCCGAGGACAGCGGCAACTGGGAGGCTCTGAGCTCGAAAGCCTCGTGGTGGTAAGCGCCACAGCAAGATTCAAGACGAGCACGTCGACTACCTAGTTGGTCTCATCGACGACAACTGTTACATCACGCTGGACGAGATGGTTGACGCCCTCGAGGCTCGATTCGCGCTCAAGGTGACAAGACAGACGGTCAAGACACACATTGACGGCCGGATGTACACGGTCATGCAAACCCATCGCGACAACAACTACCGCAATCTTGAGGAGAACAAGATTTTGCGCCGGGATTACGTCGTCGAGCTAATTGCTCAGAAGGCCGCAGGTAAGAAGATCTTCTACGTTGACGAAACTAAATTCAATTTGTGGTGTGCTCGCCGCCGTGGTCGTAGCAAGAAAGGGAAGCGAGCTGTCGACAACAACACAGCCAGTAAAGGGTCATATATCCACGTGATCGCTTGCATTTCAGAGGAAGGGCTTGCTTACTCGGAGAAGCGCTTTGGCTCTTTCACGTCGGAAGCATGCAACGAGTACATCCGTCGCCTGCTCAACCACATCGGTGCTTCAACGCCGCTAGAGAACGTTGTTTTGGTGTGCGACAATGCACCATGCCACGCGAACATCGAGGATGTATTCAAGGATACCACGTTTTCGGCGGCGACGCTGCTGCGCCTAGGTCCGTACTCGCCAATGCTGAACCCCATCGAGAACTGCTTCTCAGCGTTCAAAGCCATGGTGAAGCGGTTCCTCGCTCGCCATCGTCAAGCTATTCTACGCGTCCCACCGCACCTCACCATCAAGGCGCACCGTGAAAGCTACCTAAAGCTGGCTGCAGACCTCCTCGTACTCGAAGCTATCACCCCAGAACTTTGCTACAAGTGCTCGTTGCACACCATGAAGTTCCATGCGCGTGCGATCCAGATGAAAGATATGCCTGTAGGAGAATAAAGACAATATCAAGTTTGGCTTTGCTGGCTCCTATGTTCGATGTCATTTTGAACTTACGTTTTGTCACTTTGATTTTACCTGTCGCCATTTTGAAGTTGAAAAGATGTATTGTTTAATGAGTCCAAAAAGTGATCTTACCAAGTGATTAGACTTTAATGCGGGTTTTTTAATTAGTGTTTTGGAAGACACAGTGGACGTTTCATGTCGTAAGGTCTTAATACACTACAGTAGATACGGTATTTAGTCTCACTCATACTAATTTATGTGACGTGCTGCAGACTCTGCTCACCTAAATTAGTATGATTGTGGTTAATTATGCACTCTGACTATTTAAGGTGTGGTAGAATTAGTCACACTTAGACTAATTAATGTCTCACCCTAATTAGTAACACTAGTTTACGATTGTTGAGAAGCTGGTCTGGTTATTCTTTTGTTTTTTTGTGTGTTTGTTTGCCATATCCAATGGAACCGCTTGTCCAGCAAATTGATCTGGGAACTTCTTGATGATTACTTGAAGGTGGCTGAATAGCTGTTCAGTTCTCCATACACCATCAACATCCAGCGAGAGTCCGCATCGAATCATGGCTTTCCGAGCGTAGTTCACATTATTCTTGTCCCTTTGAGAGTTGACTTGGCGTACTGCTTTAGCAGCCAGGGACAGAAAAAATGCTTTCCTGGATTCTTAAGTTTTCCTGACCAGGTTCCATCGGACCTCTTTTTGTTTTGCCATGCCTCCTCCTCAATCAACTCGATCTTTTTCTCATTCCACATTCGACGCCACTCGTCCTTTATCTTTGCGATAATGAATGAGTCCGCCGGCTGACAGAGATCCGTTGCGTTTGCTGGAAAGAAGGCTAAAGAAGCGTTTAACTTCTGAAGCTCTTCAGTACACTCGTCTTCCTCGAGGTGACTTGAGCAGTTATCTAGGAATATAGTCTTCTTGCGACCTAAACGATCCGGCTTTTGAGCTCGAGGCTCTTTCAGATACTCGCGAAAGAGACGTTTGTCCATCCAGCCCTTCGGCCCCGTACGATAACACACTCCTTCCACGTCATCCTTAACTCCACGAATTGGATAACTACGGTCTGCGTTCGTAAAAATCATCATCGGGGGCAAGATACGTGCACTTGGCCCACCGCTGATTCGCACGACCATTGTCATTCCATCTCCTCCGGATACAACATCCGCATATTTGACCTGGTTTTCGCCTCCAAAACCGAGAGTCTTGCTGTTGTCAAAATCTACAACGAAATGAGTTTCATCGATGTTTTCATCGCATTCTCGTCATACAAACCACTCTCAAACCCACGCTTCAACTTGCCAAAGGTGATAGGCCACTTGCTTCTCAATATCTTCAACCTTCTGAGGGCTCACCAGTCGTTTACCTGTTGCCGCACGAAGTACTATGTTGTTGTTCTCCATAAAGGTTTGCACCCAGCGTGAAGTGATCTTTGTTAACAGCTCAGCCCCGTTCTCATCAGCCTTCGGAGCTTGAGGATCCTGGAGGATACGCTTAGCTACTTGACGTAGCAAGGATGCGTCGAGCTTCAACCCCAATTTACGTAATCGATCAAACTCGCTTAGCAACAAAGGATATATCCAGAGCACCCACTTGCTCCGAGGACGACCTCGGCCGGACAAAGCCTTAGAGGTCACTCGCTTTCTTCTATCTGATCGTAAACTCGACAGTGACACAGAACCCCGGAGTGGCGCTTGAAGTTGCTCTCGATTCTTCCACCAGGCCATCGCTTTGCTAAGGTTAGCATTGCGAGTAGACGAGTTAAAAATATCAGGAAATTGATCTACAGTTCTCGCGAACATGTTCTTCGCTCCCTTTGCTTTTTCATATTCTTCCATCCAGGAGATGACACGACGGCGATGCTGGATGGTGGTAACCTGTTGTGACACTCGAGATGATGTTGACGTTGGCAACTCAGTCACGACCACATTGGAAATAGAGATTATGTCGTCTTCAGAGCTCTCTTCTGAGTCGTCATCGTTGGCATCATCCTTCGAAGAGATCGAATCTTTGCTCCCTGTAGCGCGAAAGCTTTTTATGATAGGAGGAGCTGATATAGCTTGAGGTTTGCCTGAATCACAGTCTGGGACAGAGAAACATGCTGTTCCAAAGCCCTCTTGTCCGACAGGCTTTCCCACCAAATGTGTGCATATGAAACAGAGCAGATGGGCAGACTGAATAGGACAACGAGGTCACCACCAGCCCACCACACGGGGAAAGTTGAGCTGAGTTGGAGCTCATAAAAGAAC